AGATTGTTAAGGCTGTTCAGGGCCAATGCAACAGCGAGCCAGTTACTGAAACTTATGCTCGTTCGTTTAAGCGTGTGAAACCCTCGGAGTCACAGGGAATCCGTTGATTTTTTGCTCTGACACTCGGTTTTACCCTTTGACAGCAGGGGAGCGGTGTGCATTCTTGAAGTCACCGCTCAACGAAGGTTTGCGGTGATATGCAATCTGGACGCAGATTGCACGCGCCTGCGCGAAGCCATTGCGTCCGTCGTCCGTTCCCTCACCGCAGTCATGCACTTTGACTTTCAGCCTTGAACTCGGAAGTTTTGGAAGCTTCATGGAGGTCACATGTTGCCTTGGACTTGAGAATTTGGAGACTTCACGAAGGTCGCGTATTGCTTTGGTTGGATGCCGCTCCATTCACCCCTTTCAGGTTTCTTTGTACCTGTACTTTTACTTACCGCTGCTTTAAGATTTTACCACCTTTTACCATTTTACACTTTGAGTCTTCATGCTCAAGAGTGCAAGCGCTTCAAAAAACAAATCATTGACATCAAACCAAACATGTACCTTTTCATTGTGGATAAAAAGGTTTGTGGTTCGTTCTTGGTCAACTGAGAAAATCTGTATGTATATATATATATATCGCATGTTAAAGTTTCAATGGCAGAACTAAAAACATCCCATTGACAAAATGTGGCGCATAAAACTGGAAAAGAATCGATGCGCAGGCTAAAAGTGTGTTTTATTGCTACTATGTACCTTATTCCACTTTACCACACCATGGATTCTGGATCCCTATTTGCACCACTCCTTTTCACGTTCGGTTTCTTCCCTTTCGTGGATTCTTTCCTTAGCACTCTTTACCTAACCACGATTTCGTCGCCGTGCGCTCCTCCTCCGATTCCGCTCAAAGAGCTCATCGGTAACTTCGGGCTGCCTCTCGTTCTCGTGATTGCAAACCAGATTGGGGCGGCGTTGATGATGATGATCTACCTGTCGGATGTCGCGAATCACCACCATCACGGGCACCTCAAACCTCGGCTGCCCGTTGTTTGCTGCCGCCCTGCGCGCCGCCCTCCCCGTCTACGCTATAGAGACCTCCTTTTGGTCCACTTTGGAAACGCGCCCAGATCGCGCTCCCCTCGGCCTCATTGCCTGCCTGGTTTCGCAGCGTATTAACCGGATTGATCATGAGCTCCTTGCCGCAAATCGCATCTTGGATTTTTCCTCCACATGGACTTGGACTTCGGACTCAACCTTGGCTTTCTCCTATACAGCAACTACTGCCGTATCCTGCACCTTATGTGCCTGGTCTTTCGCCTTTTACAAACTATGGGGAGGTTTCACCCGCGCCGACTTTCTTCCCGGAATAAAAAGTTGCGACAAAGTCAGCTTCCGTTAATTTTCTCGTTGCAGTCATGAACCTTCACATTGCTTGTCTCCCTTTCCAATTCACTTCCATTCAGCGTCCTTCTTCCTCCATTTTTTCCTACTTCTTGTCCTCTTCCTCTCTCTTCTTCCATCCGGTTTTCGCCGAGTTTCTTCCCTCGCACTCCGTTTTCTCGAATCGGGCTTCTTCACCGCGCGGGCTGCCGGGCTTGATGGTTTCCTCTAGGGTTCCACTTCTACGTGACGCAGCGTTCAACCGTTCCACCTCTCTTCTTTCTTCTGCCCCGCCGCCGCCCTCTCCATTACTTCGTCCCTCGCAAACGTCCCCGTTATTGTGAGGACACCCCTTCAACGCCGTCCCCTTCTCCTGCGTCCCCACTTTCCCCACCCTGGCACGAGGGCTGGGACGATCAAGATGACCTTCAGCTTGCCACACTCACTTGCGCCCCAGCCGCAGCTATATTGCTCATCGCGTGCGACGACGCGTGAATCAGAATTGTTTTGGTCTATGTGAACTTTTGAGTATGGACGGTCTCCTCTGATTCCTGCCCCTCACACGAGCTGGCTGGACTCGTCAAATTTTCATTCGGAACATGCTGAGGCCGGTTCTCTTCAACAACACGTTCTTGTGCTTCCGGCCGCCTCCTACACCTCCCCTCCCTCTTCACCAGCTTGAACGTCTACGTCCTGTCTAGCGCCCATGTCAACCAGCATGACCACCAGCCCCAGTTCACGCCTGTGCGAAGGACTACCACTCCCGTGCCTTGTCCGCGCGTCCTCGTTCATGTTCTCGCTCATCTACTCGATCCCATGGGCGCGAGCATCTTCCTACCTGGAAGGCTTTCTGATTGTAGCGAGCCTTCGTCCTTCCTTTCTTTGGCGCCTCGGGCTCAAAGTTTTGGACACAGCTGACCACCTTTCACAACTTCATCTTCATCTTCATCTTCTGTCTGCGCAACCACTGCGTTCAGTCGTCAATTTCGGACAACGTGGCTCTTGTTCTTGCCTGCTCGTCTTTATGGACCGCGTGGCGGATTCTTCAGAGTCTTACACTCCAGTGTGCCCTCGACCTCGTGATGTTCAACGCTATGAGACTTTGACTTGCGCCAAAAAAATACGCTGTTGATGACCTCAAAGATGTGACGCTCCTGCGCAGGCATGTCTTGCTCGCAATCCTGGCTCGTGTCTGGGAAGCAGATGGAAGCAGAACATTTTCTCTATCTGGAAACCCTAACCACGCACTACATCAAAACCCGACAGCTACGTCCCCGCAGTGTTACCTGTGCACCTCTTCCTTGCCCTCCGCGTCTACACGATGACGCCGTCGTCCAAGTCGCACTGCGCACCGCCTACCCCAACCAGAGTGAACGCCAAACCTTCTGTTGATTCTGTCTCACTCCGTTGACCTGAGTTTGAAAATGAAACTGGGTTTGGCCTGCGTGAGCTGGCGGCGTGTGTGTGAACACCGTGGACTCAGAGGTCACCTTTTTTGTGCTTCTGCGCTCCTCACCTTTTTGACAAGCAGGGGGATTTCCTATCCTTGCCAACAAAGCTACGGAAATCAGTTGGAAGAGAGCTGGGGCGCCAACAATTTTGCACCAGCGTTTTGATCTCGTTGTGATGTTGAGTAAGACTGTTCTTAGGTTGCCCTCGGCAGATGTGAGCGTTGGACGTCGATTTCCTCGTTCTTTCGAAGTTGGAACTCTCGGGAAGCTTCGGACCTCTTTCAAGATTTGAGATTCATGTGTCGTGATCAGACCGCTTTCCATATACCCACCCTGGCCCCTTAGGTTTTTTACTCAGGCTGGCTGGTGGCAAGCCGCATTCAGTTCCGTATGCATTATCCCGAGTGTGTGTCCGTGGTCGCAAGTGAGGAGGTCATTGGTTTTAGACTGGGGTAGGAGCCACCATCCTGGACATGTCGATGCGGGCTGATGCGAAGATCGTTCTCATGTGTGTTTGAGGCGCTAGATGAAGAGTCTGAATAGCCCAGGCCGGAAGCTTGGAAGTGTTGGTTGAGTCAAGTCTACAAAACCTCCGCAGACACAGCACGCAGTGCAACTGTTGCAGATGATTGAGCTGCTTGCCTGTTCACGACATTGGAAAAGGCACCACAGTTCGTGTATGTTTGCGGCAGTTGCCGGTTTGGGCCTTATTGGACGGCAGTGAATATCGCATCAGCTAATGTGGGTTTAACCATCGGCCGTGTACTATATCTCAAGGACATGTCTCATTCTGAATCACTGAGGGACGTACGATGACTGAGGGACATAGGCCGCAGGTGCAGGAGAGGTGCCCTCCACATCCTGCGGTCGCAGGAGCTGAACGAACTAAATGTTCTATGTAGTGTTACACCCACTAAACTTTCGACCGCTATACCCCGTGGTTGTGTGGTTGGATTTCTGGGACAGCAAGAGAATCACGTGGTCAACTAATAAGTATTTCAAAAGGTTACATAAGAGATGTGGCGCACAAATACACTGGTTGGAATACAGCAACGCAATGGTGCGGCTGCATACGAGTAGAGAGCGCTCTGGACGAGCAGTTTGGCCAGGTCAGATTTGCATCAATGCCATGCAGAAGCAAGGATGTGCAAACTGTGCGACCCCGCATTTTAAACCAATCACCAGCCCTGAAGACAGTTTTCGCTGCTTAACTGCTGGTATTGTGTGCTTGCTGGCTTTACTACTACTTTAGCAAGACAGCTCAGAAAAGCTCTCAGCGAGACTGAGATGTGCATCTCAGGTGTTCCAAGAAGCAACTAAGACCGGCCCAACATGATAGGACACGCGACAAAATCGGGTGGCAGACAGTGAAGAGTCAAGCTGAGAGTCGCTGAGTGTTTAGGGTTTAGGGCGGCTTATGTCGCTGCGCATTTCACATGTCCTTTTGTCACAGTGAGTCACAGGAGCAGTTTCAAAAACCTCTATGATGAAAAGTGTACAAACTGTAATCTCACATCCTTTCTTGAAAACCAAACAACATGCAGGTCGCGAAAGCTCCGCGAAAGTCCTTGCGAAAGCAAACCTAGATAAAACAAAGGAGGTGGAAGTTGCTCACAGGCTCGGCTCCAATGAATGTCGTGAGTTCATTCGGTTGCTTGGATCGTCACGATCGTCCACCCGCAATGACGCTCTTTTAGAGTCAGTCAGCGGCCTGGAATGCAGCAGCCGGCAAACCCTGAACATCCCTGAACCATTTTGGTTCAATCAGTTGTTCGGAGTTTCTCCCTCAGCTGACACAGCTGAGGGAGACACTTGTTTGCTGCCATCGAGACCGCTTTGGACCAAAGTGCAAGGTATACAGACTAACCTTTGCTTTTGCGGAACTTGAATCATGCGATATATGATGTGTCTTGAAGATCGTGTGATGGCAGATTGTATCCGCGATTGTATCACGATTTGTTGTTGTCCAGCACAGTGTGCTTTACCCGCCAAATTGATCAAACCACATCGCAGAGAGAGTCAGAGCAGAAACAGGCGCGGAGAGCAGCCACTCATTTGATTCCCAAGTGGCCGTGCGTGTTTGTTTAGTTTAGCGTGTGCAGCGAAGTGGTCAAGAAACAAGGCCATTGTGGTAAGTCTTCAGATAGTGGTGGTCCCTTTGCGAAATCGTCGCATTGTTGGGCCATGTTCGGCTCAAGAAAGGGCCCCGCTGCAAAAAGTCTTTCAGACAAGCGAAGCCAGTGCCTGCAGAGAGTCTTACCCTTTTTGGTGGCTTCGGGGTGCCGTTTGCGCCAAAGAACTTGGCAGTCTTGGCACTTGCATCATTGGATGGCGGAATTCAAGCTTGCGGTTGATGAGAACAACAAGGCCACAGAGTTGCCACTGCTGCGAATATGTGGCACGGTAAGAGAGAACCCACACATGCGCGCGTTTTGGGGTTCCACATTCTCCTTCTTCCTTGCCTTTTTGGGTTGGTTTGCTTTGGCACCTTTGGGCCTTGAGGTGGCCACCAGCATGGGGAGGTGTGAGAACCAGCTTTATCCGACAGAGAGCAACCCTAAGCGAGTGGCTTACCTGAAGTACAAAAATATCTCGACGTCAGAACCATATTGCCAATATGGGCAGCTTAAGGATGATGGCACGCCCACAGACTGTGCGGACGTACCAAGCGAGATTGCCAACAATGCTACTGCAACTGCAGAGGAGAAACTCAAATACCGACCGAAGGTGCTGGCAAAGTGCGTTTGCACCACTGGAACTCAATGCAATGGCATCATTGCCAATGCAGGAGTGGCAGCTGTGGGTTCAACCATTTTTGTTCGCATTGCTCTCGGCACGCTTCTGGAGAGATTTGGCCCTGTCAATGTGCAGTCAGGTTTGTTGACCTTTGGAGCCATTTGGGTTGCCCTAGCTGCAACAATTCAGGAACCGTGGCAGTACACCGCGATCCGTTTCTTCATTGGCTGTGCAGGACATGATTGAGTGCTTTGATAAATAGGTAAATATGCTGCATTGTAGATTGTATATAGCCCTTTCGGTTAAGGAAGCTTACCTCTAGATGTTTCGCTGTCGCCCGTTTTATTCAAGCTTAGAGCTTTACTCACAGGCCTCGAGGAATGCTGTTGAGAGCATCTTGTTTCTCGGAGCTCAAGTTTGCAGATCTCCCTTGTGTGTGCCTTTCTTTTTTTTGCTCATCAGCTCGGCTTGAAACACCGGAGTGTTTGAAAGTCATGACTTCCATGGCTTTGAGTAGTTGTCCGGTAGCAATGTGACTGGGCAGTCGATCGAGAGAAAGGGCTTGTTTGTTGGCTAAGCAATAGGCTGCTCATTCCAAACACATACCGTTTTTAACCAATCAACTTGCCGTTGGGGTTCTATTGGCTTTCGAACATTTGGATCCACAGAATGACTCGACTTTGTGTCCTCACTTGTCTCCCCACTAGTCACCAGTCTTTTGGTGGGTGTCATGACATATTCTCCCTTTGTATCCAGTGTACAAACGCTGTCTGGGTTGGTGCTGGTGTAATATCAAATACTCAAAGCAAGTAAGGCCTCTGTCGCCTGAGAGGCACGTCTGAGATGCAGGGTTTCCTGGTTTCACCTTGGAATGTTTGTGTTTGATGTTCAACTCTCTTTGCAGATGTGGGTTCTATGAACACAGGAGGGCAATGCAATATAAGGCCTGTGGGGGATGAGCAGTGCTGCATGCTAGCAAGCGCCAACGACTGAACTGATCAAAGGGAGGATCGAAGAGAACGTTTCCATTTAAGACAATTTTCAGTACTGTAGCAATGTGTGTGTGTGTGTGTGGGTGTGAGTGTGTTTTTGTACTTGGTTTGTGTGCGAGATTGCGAGATTCATGAAAAAGAACAGAACACTATATCATGACCCCACTGCGTACCTTGATTGACTCTCGCGCTCTCCCTCTTCCTCTCTCTCATCTCTTTCTCTTCCTCCAGTGGCCAACTGGCTGTGCAGCTGCCTTGCTGGAGCATCAGATGCACCTCCATCTCTTGATGCAGCCTACCTTGTGGCTCAGGAGGAGTCCATGCATGTTTGATTTTCAATGGCGCGTTGCTGCCTCGGGCACTATTAAGCATGCGAGTGAAACAAATGAGACACACCTTTGACTGAGAACTTGCAACCTGCCGAGCATCCGCTCAGGGAGATAAGTGGGGAGAAGAAAGGAGCAAAGCAAGCAATCATTCCGTGGCAGCCACGTAGTGGAGAGACAAGAAGGGAGGCAAGCAAGTCACATCGTGAAAATTTTCATGCGGGAAAGCTTTTATGCTTTTCTGTGTCAGTATTCAAGTACATGCTAGCGTGGTCTTGCACGGGTTGGTTCAAGAGCCATTGGTGACAAAGTCAAATTGCACACGCTTCCGGCCACACTGCGGGATGTTCATGCTGGTGTATTTTTTGGCTCCTTAACTTTCAATTTTGTATTCTTCGCTCAATTGGCAGGAGCGACTTTCGTAGGGAACCAGTTCTGGTGCTCTCTGATGTTTTCGCCCAACGTGGTGGGCACTGCCAATGCGACCGCAGCTGGTTGGGGCAACTTGGGCGGGGGTGTGACGCAGATCTTCATGATTTCTGTGCTCTTCAACCCCTTGGTGAGCAGTGGCATGGCGTCAGATACAGCCTGGCGAGTGTCCATGCTCATTCCCGCTGTCCTTTTCGTTGTATGTGCAGCAGCAATAAAGCTGTTGTGTTGGGACACGCCGACCGCTAAACGCTTCAATGTGGCTCTAATTGGCAAGACCAAGAAACCGTCCATGTGGGATTATGTCGAAGTGCTAAAAGATGTCCGCGTGGTCGTGATGATTTTCCAATATTCCGCATGTTTTGGCACAGCTGCTCACTCGCAGATAGACTGAACACCTTTAACTGGGTTGTCTCAGTAGAAAGAAAACATAACTTGTTTGTACTGTACGGTCACTCGCCATCAACAAAGCTAAGGAACTCGCTATGAACAATCAATTAGCGACGCACTTCAGGACTTATTTTCAGCTACCTGCAACGGATGCCTTTGCGTTGGCTGGAGCTTTCGGGCTCATGAACCTTTTTGCAAGATCTTTAGGAGGCATTACCAGTGATGTCCTCTTTAAATACGTGGGATTCCGTGGCCGTATTTGGGCGCAATTCTTGGCCCTTTTCTTTGAAGCCATTTTTCTCTTTGGATTTGGCTTGGTGGACAACTCACAACCCTGGTATGTTGCGCTCGCCGTGCTTGTTTGTTTCTCTTTGTTTGTGCAGATGGCAGAAGGGACAAGCTGCTTGGCTAAACTGAACCGTTTCTGTGTTTGTTCGGTGAATCGCAAAAGTTTCGCGTCCAACAGTGAGGGTGTTTTCTTCTTGTCTTTAGACGTTTGTGGCAACGCAGGTTACGGCATTGTGCCCTTCATGAATCAACAGCAACTTGCAGTTGTGTCTGCGCTTGTTGGAGCTGGGGTAAACTTGGGAGCCGTGATTGCGGGTTTTTGCTTCTACCGGCCCATCAATGATCCATTGATTCCCTTCCAAGTGCATGCAGGCTATGTCATGTTTTGGGCGTTGCTGACCCCATTCTACTATTGGAAGGAACATGGTGGCATGTTCCATGGCCCGGCTGTGACAGAGGAAAAGGTTGTGGCTTCTGAACCAGGGACTGCAGAGGCTGCCGATGCGAATGACATTTGGCCCAATATTCCAGTGGCTTTGGGCAATGATCGAGAAAATTATGATTCTGTCATCGCTGGAGAAGCAGTGCTTTCTTCAACCAAAGGTTCTCATCACTCCAAAAGTCCTGGCCAAGCCCGAAGTATTGTCAGCAATGCCTTTTGCGGCCCTTTACATTTGTTTTCTTGTTTACATGGTTGCTCTCGTTCTCTCCCAGTGTAGCTGCCAGTGGCCGTGCGGATCTCTTCCATAGTGCCAATTCCCAAGGAATGGGCACAAAGAATAGCTGAGAGCAGCACCTTGCGGCCCTTGCATGGAGTGCAGGACTAGCGGATTGTGTTGTTTTTCCTCTTCTCTTTGCCAATCACGGAAAAAAGGCTGTTTTCTCATTTACAGGGTGCATGGTTCTTGCCCTGGATTCTGCCAACACGTTGCCCGGGTTTGAACAATCAAGTTGAACATGCTCCTGTGTTTCTTTTTAAGAGTCTGAGTTCAGTAGTTTGGCGTGATGGTGTAATGCCTGCCCATTGGATCAAGAATCAAGACAGGAAACGCCCTTGCACACTTTCACAGATATGATATATTGTATTGTATTGCTTATCGTTGGTTCTAGGATTCTAGTCGTTTGGTAAAGCACATCAAGCAGCGTGACACCACGTGACCATGTCAACTCTCAGATGATGCGCGATGCCATGAATGGCCGAATGGCACAAAGTGCTGCACATGCAGTGCTAATGCAATATGGAGCTTTCGCAGGCGCCCGCATTTCCAGGGGTCAAAGATGATTTTGAATACGCATAAAAATGATGCATCAAAGAAGCATCCCAGAAGGCTCAATGGGAAAACCTATGTTTTTCTGCCAGGCTGCGGATGAGGCAATTTCACGTTTGCTCTGGAATCGATTCAGAAGCTTCTTTGGGCATGTGGCTGTGAGGATCGCTTCATCGTGGGCCTTCGGGCAGCTTTGGTCAACGGCTTCCAAGAGGAGAGATGCCGAGTTTTGCACTGCTTTGCAAAGCTTTTACATACAGAGAGGTGCTGTACATAGGGAAAGGTCAGAGACACTGCACAGGCACGACGCACGCTTGCAAGCGTGAACGTGTGGGACCTGACTGTTCAGTGTATATTGCCAATATTGCATTGCCAACAAGTGATTTGCCAAAGGTCTCTGGATTGCATCGCTGGCCAGTCTCTTTGCACACAAGTTTGTGTTCTCAGACAGTGTGTTTGGCCGGCAACGTGACAGGTTTGCTTTGAGCTGTTTGGTTCGGCTCATGCACTTGGACGAGGTGGGAATAGAGAAGTTGTTCCTTGGCTTGCCACATTACATTGCTTGTAACTTGTAACACCAATTTATCTCCGAAGCTGTTTTTGGTTCATGAACATCGCTTGACATGCAATGAAATGCCACTGTCTTATATACATGTAAGTTCTGTTTGCACAATTGAATGTATTTCAACATGCTCTTTAGAACAGTTGCTCTCTATCAGAGGCTTTCTCCAAGAGTGTAGAGCAATCTGACATTGGCTGAGAGTCTCGATCGAGTTTCATAGATCGGCTTCTCATCGTCCGACGGATATTCGTTTCTACACGCCTGTGGCATTGTCATGGGCCAGTGCCAGCATATTGAGAAGGTCCAACCCTTTGATGAGGTGCAGCACTAGCAAATTGTGCATGGCTGCAGATTGTGCTTGACATTTGGAACAGGTTGAGGTGAAGAGGCTGAGTGGTCGAGCGCAGGCCAATAGATACAAGTAGAGACACACAGAGAAGGGGAGCGCAAAAGATTAGCAACATATCATAAGGACAGACACAACAGTCTTGCAAAGATTTCTTCAAGCAGTTCTTGAAGAGGCCAGAGCTTTCGACAGTACTGGCAAGGCCCGGAAAATGAAGAAGATAGATAGCAGCTTAGAGAAAGGGCAAATGAATCAAGAAAGTCTCACCGAGAAAAAGCGAGGGTGGAACGTTTGGGCTTTTCTCGTTGAAACGTCCTCCTAGGTTGGCACTTACTCTGGTGGGGAATGCGCCTTCTTCTTGGAGCAGGCGCAGTTTGGACAGTGGGAACAATTTGTTCCGAAGGCCTCGACTTTCTTGACCTTTAAGTCGTTTCTAGGTTTCTGGGTGCCTACGTGGTGCCAACGTCGTTTTTTTGGTGCGTTTTACTCGGAGGTTTGGAACGTGCCCTGCTTGGAACAACCAAACATGTGCGCAGACCGGGCCTTGGAACAAAGCGTTTTTCAGCCTCAACACTTCAGTTTTCCCTTCGACAAAACGGGCAGTGTAAGCTTTCTGCAGATAGGTACTTGCATTAACCGATTCCATACGCGGTCAGGCTATGTTGGCTAGGCAAAAAAGCTGGTGCTTGAATGCGTTTGCGCTTGGACTGCTGTGTTAGTCTAGCCTGAGGCTGTCAACCGAAACCCATCAGTGGTGGTGTGGGTGGAAGCTTCCGCCAGACCTTTAGGGCAGGCTCCGGCATTCCTCTCATTTTGTACTATTCTTCATCTACATGGCGGGTGTGAACTGGACATTTGGAGTTTGCTCAGATGGCCGAATGGCCAAGCAAAAGCAGTTCGCAGCCTGCATGGTGGCTTGCCCAAGCTTGCCCAACTCGATATTTTGAAGAACTGCAGGGTGGAGCTGCAGACGTGCCAAGGTTCTCTGCACGATGCTTGGGGTTTCAGCTCAGCGCCATGACCTCGGATAGTCTGGGAGACGCATTTAGACGTGAGATCTGAGGTAGTAGTGAGCCGTGCGTAAGAAGACTCTCTCAGCTACAGTGCTACAGTTACAGATAAGATAGCAAGAGCAATGAAGTCACTAGAGAGTTGCTGGACAACGAAGAGCGCTCAGGCTGAGACGCTTCAGAACAGCTCAGCAATTTTATGTGTGGAGATTCTTGGACGGCACTTGATTGGATGCTCACTGATGCTGACATGTGCTGACCTCTCGGTCATGTAAGAGTAGTTCAAAGCAAGAATGGAAAGACAATGGAATCCAACATAAGTCGAGCTTAATTACATGTTGGAAAATAAGTTTTATGTCAGACGAGTGAGTATTCCAGATGACAACATGGGATGACTCCACATGACAGCCGCCACTAGTGTAGCACAGGCTGCGCGATGCCAGTACAGTGTTGGGCTCTCTTCAGCTTCCAATGAAGGCGAGCTACGCGGTGTATTGCAGTATGCTTTGTGGTGGATGTCGCCGCTGTCGAAAGCTTGTGTGCACAATTGAATAAAGCATTGACAGCTGCCTCCTCAGTGACTGGTGTGTTTGCTGTTGCAGGACTTGGCTTTACATCAGAGACTTCAAAAGGCTCTGAACACAAATCAGCAAGGAGAGGACATCGCCCAGAACCTGCTGGACTCCAATCCATTTACCACAGACTCTTGAGTTCTCAAAGCTCTTCTGAATTTGTTGTAAAGTTTGCTTCGATGTACATTTGAATGTTGGTCCTGTTTGCTCTCCATATGATTCGATGCTTCTTTTGCATCCACCGGACTGGGTGGCTGAAAAGGATGAAAGCCATGAATGCATGCTAAGCTTTGTTCGAAAAGGCAAGCATAGGAAGCAGCAAATCCTTCCACTATGGGAAAGTGTGAGTGCAAAGAACACCTTCCTTGTGTCCCTTTCTTTGCTCTTCATCGCATATTGTGCAGTTCCAGAAACTCTCGTTGCATGTCATCGCCTCGCCTCCTCGTTGGACAGTTAGGAGCTCCTCCGGTGGTATCCTTTCAGATTTTGGATTGCAAGGCACTTTGATGGGCGTTTGGTTTGGTTCTTCCCAGTGTCTATTTTGTAGATTTGTCAATCTTGATCAACGAATGGAGCTTTCGGATCGTCACGTCTTTGAGAATTTGAGTTCATGTCACATATCACGCTATAGCACGTGCCACGCAGCACGGTGTAGCACGGGCCCTTGGTCTGACCTCAAACCGGTCAGGCTGTGCTGCGGCCAAGGACCGTGTGCAGACCTTGGATGCAGGTAGGAGGGAGTTCTCAGGACATTCATGCATGCCCCGTATCACATTGGCCAAGCGCTTCTTTGTCTCCGACAGGCCTCCCCATTCATGTCCTCGTCTTCCCGCACCCTCCTTTTGACCTTTTTGGGTCGTTCTCTTGCATGGTGTGTCAGACCTTGTGAGTAGCTTCTTTGTGGCATTTTTTTTCCCTCTGAATAAGAGTGCTCTGGCAAGCAGTGCATGAACATCATTCTCCCCATGATCCATTGATCAATCAGTTTTTGTCAGCAGGCAAGTGTGATTGAATCAATGGTGTTTTAAATTTTGATGCTTATCCCGTGGCGGTGAGAGAGTCAAACAGTTGCTTTGACAGAAAGAAAGGCAAGAAGTGGCAAGAAGTGGCTGTACCTGTAAGGTATTTGGTGCGGCATGGGGAGAGTCAGTGGAACAAGGCGCACTGACTGTAGTATGTACTATGGGCCAACATCAGTGACTGATCCAGGTGTATACTTAAAGAACAATTGGCAATACTGTATAAGTTCTGGCAGGTAATTTTATTGGCTGTAATATTGACATTGATTGCGACAACGACAGGCACAGGGAAAGATGGACATCCATGGGATGGTGCGCACTACTGACCACTCACTCTCGGCAAAGGGCAGAGAACAGGCACGATGGCAGAAGAGGGTCAAAGAACAGCTAGGTGTTTGTGTGACAATAAAGGATGCAGCAAAACAGAGCAAAGGTGTGATGCGATGTTGACAAATCGGGAAATGCATGTGACCCAAGCCTTCTACGGAAAGCAAGCAAAAGTGCATGGCAGCTACAGCCAGTGAATGCTGAACATTTTGCAAGCAACGTTGACAGAGACCAAAGGAGGGAAGATGCAACCCGGGTCGCAATCCACTTGCTCCTGCTGACATTCAACATGTTTTGCGAGTTCATCCCTGGCAATTGCATTTTGATGATTTTTGATGCACATTCAATTCACCTGACGTGTTTGGAAGCACGAGTACTTTGCAGACCCGAGGCTGGCCGATCAAGATTGGACATGATGGATTCCAATGAAACACACATTCTTTCGCAATTTGCTTCATTTAGGTCACAATCCGACTGAAGAGACCTGCCCTGGTCACTTACTAACTTCACAAATGGGCTTTGGACGACCGACCTCAGGCGTGAGCTCAAAAAGCCGTCGCACAGGAGCACCAACGCCGGGAGGATCTCATTCAAGTGCGGCTGTAATGCTTCATGACTCCAGTCAGAAACTTGCCATTCTGTCCCTTCAATACAACGTGTGCCGACTGTCATTGACTGGCACGGCTACTCCGAAGCAAAAGCAGCTGCATCCCACATTATCCCACACCATTGAACCAACTTCACAGTGGTCGGCTTTTTTGCAATACATCCGACTGCATTGGTCAAAGAAAATGACACTCACTGCCAATTCCTGCAGCCTGGTCAGAACTTTGGATGCTTATCAGCCCAGATGGGCACACCAGGCTAGGCCATCATCATCAAAACGAAGATGGAAGATTAACGCTGGGCCATCATCACCATCACTATCCCATAACTCGCTATCACTTCACAATGGAGTCGTGGACTATGTCTCAAGTGGTGGCCGGCTGTCCGGAGAGGGCTATTTTTCCACCAGCGTGGATCTCCTGCAGACAGGAGATCTCCTGTCACATGCATGCAAAGATCAACCGAAATGACAAAGACCGTTGTGATCACCAGGACGGATATCATGCACCATAGTTTGTGAATGTAAGTCATTCTCACGCTGAAACTTACTGAACAAATGCGCCAAAATGCAAAAAACATGATTGAATTATGAAAGTTAGCCAGACAGACTTGGCTTCGACTGCATGCAGCATTCTATTGAATGATGCTAACTGGGAAGAGAGTTCTTGAGTCAACAGAAGTATCGACAGTCGGTTTTGAATCAAAATTGAAGAAAAAAAACAGGTGGAGGCCATCGCTAGTAGGTGGGAATTGGTTTTGTAGCGGACGGTTGGAGGCTGAGAAGCTCTGCCACGCGCTGCGCACAGAACTCGAGAAGGCGACAAGCCGTGCCAACGCAGTTTAGCAAAGACGAGGTTTTCACAGAACATGGTTATAAGTTATATCTATCTATATTTATATATAACGTCATCATATTTGGATGTTGACATAATTCAAATTTTCGGAGAACAGAGGCAACGCCCGTGTGCATGCTGCATATTGTTGTTTGGTTTCTTTCCAAAGGATCTTGCTGGAACAGCACATCCAAGCATTGGGCCAATGCTTCGTCCTGGAATGATCATGGCCGAAAGCTTAGGTCACAGTCAAAGTAGAATAAGCAGCCCATTCTAAGAGGGGAAATAGAAGTAACGAAGTAGTAGCTTAAGTAGCTTCCTATGCTTGGACGCAGAAGGGCGAGGGTGGGGGGGTAGCTTCCTTGAAGAAGCCTCAGCCTGAATGATTTGGTTCCTGGATTTTTTTGGGAAACTTAATAGCAATGGCCTCGAACCTACTAGCGATGGCCTCCAACCTAAGAAGATCATTTTACTCAGTCCTGGAGTCTTGGACCGTTTTCATTTCGAGTCAGCTTAGACCTCTCCGCTGGGGCGCGCTCTCCAAACTGCTGTGATTGCCTACGGGCCGATACTCACAAAGGCCGAGACTACTCAGTGAATCATGCAAAGGAATGTAGGCTCCAATCATGCAAAGGCGACTAGTGAACACTGTTTGGAACAGGCTGCGGCACCTTGCAAAAATCAGCCAAAGACCCAGTGCGAGACACTCGAGACTGTTGAAAAGAGTAGGGAACAGAGCCAAGCAGAGTGGGTGGCAAAGTGTGCGGGTGTACAAACATTTTTCACTGCTCAACTTTGTTGTAAGCATGAGTAAAGAAAGGCAAAGGCAGACTGAGAACGGATAAAGAGTGCCACTAATTGGTGGGAGATGGACATTGAGATGGTTGTCACTGTGCTGATGCATTACTTCTCACCTGTGGAGGATGGTTCTGGCTCCAAACTGCAAGGAGCCTTGCAGCTGTGTAGCTTGTAGCTGTAGCAAGCAAAAGTACAACATCGTATTGGACATCGCCGGACATTTTGTTTGCTACACCATGCTATTGTGCATTACTTTGCTCTTGGGGAAGGGATGTCACTTCCTTTCCTGCAACGGTAGGATGACTGTTTTGCTCCCGAGGAGAAGCAGAACTTGGGGGGGCCTAGACACTCACTGCACCAAAGTCGGAGAGGATACACTTGCTGCTTGCACATCATTCGCCTCACAATTGCTTTGCACATCGTATTTCAGGAGATCCTACAGGGGTGCCAGGAAGAGCATCGAACTGAGTTATCATTTGTGACATCCGTTCAAGATTAAAGATGCTCTATTCTCGTGGCCAGTATTGCTTGTTCAATGCCTTTGCCTTCAGAGGTCTTCAAGGGCTCCTCTTTCTGAGGCTTCATAACCTGTACTCTGGCACGGAGAAGGACCCGTTCAAGATGTTTGGTAAAGTACTACAGTACATCAGTACATTGTTCAGATTCTCAGAGCCCTTGAGCTCTTTCTGGCAATGCATTGCCACAAAGGTGTTGTGACCATGTTGTTCCAGGAGAAGTTCATGGTGAGCACCTTTGAGCAGATGCAGTTTGACCTTGAAGAGGCCACAAGCATCCACAAACTATTTGCCGAAGCAAAGTCACCAAAGAGCTCTCATCCCAAAGTTGGGAAGAAGGTCTCAGTCTAAGAACCAGATCATGGAACGGCTGAAGTGGGCTAATGAGCTGCTCCCCAAAAAGGGTGGGAATTCAAAGATTGTTGCAGTCTTTGAATCAGAGTTTGACCAGGTCAAGGACACATGGTGGCCACCAGGCCAGTCAGAATCCACCAAGCAACTGCAGGCAAGTGGCATACATGAAAGGTGGTTGATGGGAGGAAGAAGTTGAGAAGTGGTTTCTTGAACCCTAAATGAAGTGGTTTCTTGATGCCATTCGATGCTTTGCTTCCAACGTTTCTTGTTTCTGTTTCAGTTCTTTCCTTGTCCTCGAAGCACCTGTGCATCTCATATGCTTGAGGCTCGGCTTGAGGAGTTCATGTATCAGCTGCTCTTCGCGCCGGAGCTCCAATGAGTGATCTAATCAAAGTTCACTGATTAGACTGATCAAGTAGAGAATCAACACACTAGATTACTGTACAAGATTAGGCAAAGATGTATATACGTGGGAAAACAGATACAGAAGAGCTGCCAACAACAGCGGAGCTTCTGGCTATTTGGGATCGTGGCTTTTCCATGCTTTCGTCTTTGTCAACTGGGTTCTCTTTTGTCCAAAAAGCCAACCACGTCCATCAGCACGGTCCATCAGGTCTCAGCAGTCTATCGTGGTCTTTGGACATTCGCTCTTCTTCCAGCAGCTCATGCGGAGGTTTTTCAGCGATTCCTACAGGCGGAAGTTGGAAAGGAACCTGAAACATGTGAAAGCAAAGCAGTAACCAAGAGAGACCCCTCTACGAGACCACCTGATTGGTTTCATCATGCTTCAGCGCCTTTGGCACCTGTGGTATGCCAGATGTTTGAACAGGCCAAATGAATTGGCTCAACGCTTGAGCACCGGAAAGTTGCCAAATTGTGGAGCCGGAGACTTAAACCCGCTCCATTTGCATGATGTCCAGAGTGTTTTTAGGTCCTAGAGTCCAAGAGACTGCTGACATCAGAGAAGTAGTGAAAGGAGCAATTGTACATTTCTAGCCGTCTAGTTGGAGGTCATCGCTAGTAGTTTGGAGGCCATTGCTATTAGTTTGTCTAGCAAAGCTGTATAATGTAGCTTTTATTCTCAGAACGCCTCAGGTTGTCCGTCTTGATCTGGACCGGCTCTGGGTTTCTGGGTTTTCAAGTTGTTTTCTTGTTGAAACAAGCGTGTTCCACGGGTTCCATGGAAAGAGGAAGTAGAAAGATGACAGCAGGATGATCCTGGCAGGACCCCTCCAAAATGTTGGATGGGCCCTTCGTCAAGGCGGTTTGAGAGGCTCAGAGATCGCTGCATCGCTCATTTTTCAGTTGACAGGCCGAGCTTGTTCTTGGCACCACTTTGCATAGCGAAGGTGCGATTCAGCAATTCATTGTTCTATGAATCAATGATCGCTTGCGATAGATTTGATTGATGTTCTAGAAATTCTTGTATGTCTCATTGACACATTGAGAGTGTCGGGAAGGCAAGTGTGCCATGACATGTTGTGCTGCTGAGCACGACACCATAAATGAGATAAGGCTGGATGCATTTGAAGCTGAGAAGTCTGAGAAGTTGTTTGCACCGAATTCGGAATGTCTTTGTTTCTTTTGTTCTTTTGCTTTGCAGCTGTGGAGGCCCGATGATACCTTGTCTTTGCCAGTGGAGAGCACGATCGCTAATGTGTTTTCTCCTCAAGTATGCCAATCAATGTAGAATGAAGCTCAAAGATCAGAAATATCATTGTACTGTAATTGACAAGACGTTGCTGGTAAGAGACTGTTCTAGTTGTAGCTCGGTCTTTTGTACTCTTCTTCAATCAGATGTGCAAAGGCCTGCTGGTGAGATTCTCAAACCTGCGCGGGAGGTGAGCTGGGCTACAGCATGTGAACAAGCAAAGCCTTCAGATACAGTCGCTTTAGCATGCTACTGGCTATTCACTGCCAGTTCGCGTGCGTTGTTCTGCTAAGGGGTACCCGCTCGCGCCCGCGCAGAGAACACAGTAAAAACAAACATGTTGATGTTTGTCGCGCATGTGATAAAAAACAGAGGGCGACCCCCGCCGGGAAAAACAATAAAACAACAAAAGCATCGATTTCTACCGTTCTTACCGCGCGTATGGCAAAGCATATGGCGACCTCCCCGGGAAAATGCAAAAACCGTTTCCTTGTTTTAACCGTCTTTACCGCGTGTGAGGTAAAAAACATAGGGCGACCGCCCGGGAAAAACGGTATATAAAAGCATAACATGTTTGATTTTTTTTTTTAAATGTTTTTTACCGCACGTATTGTAAAAGACATAGGGCGACCCCGGCAAAAATGGTAGAAACAGAACACACATGATTTTACCGTTTTTACCGCGTGTATGGTAAAAAACATATGGCGACCCCCCCCGGGAAAATCGCTAAAAACCGTTTCTTTTTTGTGTGTTTTCTATTTTTACCGTTTTTACCGCGTGATAGGGCGACCGCCCGGGAAACACGGTAGAAAATGAACACACATGATGTGTACCGTTTTTACCGCGCCCATGGTTAAAAGAGACATATGGTGATCCCCCCATAAAGTTGTAAAACAGGCTTTATGTTTTATTGTGTTTATATACTGTAAATGTTTTTTACACATTGTGTTTTATTGTGCCATATAAATAAATGTTTTATTGTGCCATATAATACACATTGTGTTTATATATGTAGATGTTATTTATAAGACCGCGTGCGAGGTTCAAAAAAAAAATATGGCGGCCCCTCCCGGAAATAACGGTATACAATGTTTACTGTTTTTGCCGCGCGTGTGGTAGAAAAGGAATAAACACGGTAATCCCCACCATGACATTTCAGTCATTTGTCTTCATGCCATGGCGAGGAGCATGTTGCCATGGTCGTGAGTTTTGTGGTTCTCGATTTTGCTTGTGGGTCCTCGGGTTGTGTGCTGTGGTTGTGTGTTGTGGTTGTGTGTTGTGGTTGTGGGTTGTGGCTGTGGGTTGTGGTTGTGTGCTGTGGCTGTGGCTGTGTTTTGTGGCTGTGTGCTGTGGATGTGTCTTTGTGGCTGTGTGTTGTGGTTGTGGGCTGTGG